AGGTTATCGGGTTTTGTTCAAGTTACCACCCTCTTTCGATCCCCCACCTCCACCCGCTTGAAAATAATTATTTTATTTGAATTAGTGTATGAAGATTGTCAAAATAATCAACTTTCAACCCCGATAACTTTTTATGAGGGTGAAACCGCTGCAAATTTTTTATGAGGGTTTACTCAGGTGACCACCCTCTTTCGCTCCCCCCTAGCCCCACCCCCATCTAACCAGCATAACTTTTTATGGGGGTGAGACCGCCACGAACTTTTTATGGTACAGTGGTGGGGGAGACCTCCTTTTTCGATCCCACCCACCCCCATCCCCTTCGGAGGCGAGGGCCATCATCTAGACTTCTAGACATTTACCGAAATGAAAATTTCGATATCTCTAGATTCTACAAATTAAATGAATCTTCTTGCTGAACTACATTTACAATGCTGATCGACTGTATACGAGCATGTTTATAAGGAACATATCTCAATTCTCTGATCTGATCCGTGATTTATTGAGACTGTCTATAGCGTGCTGATGAGACCCATAAGATCTATATCTCTATCCACGTCAGATAGTCTCAAGAAGTCAAGAACTTAGTCCATTACCAAGCATTTCATTTAGTTATTGATCCCTGGGTTATAAATCTTTCGCATGACGTTAGGATGCTCAGTGTTCGGTTTTATTTCGTCCTAATTTTCTTAATCTTTTTTTTTCAGCATCCATAACATTGTAAGCGATTTCTTTACTCATCTAACACATTTTTTACGCAATAAAAAAAGGAACTGAATCTCTGGCTAAGTACGCAGTTACGAACCTTTGTGCGAAACATGTAATTTAGCACTATTGTATTTGCAGGTATTGCGACGCGACGTAACGCACATAAGCGTACATACACATCCACATGTTGTACATACATTTATGGGTAAATGAGATCATACACGTAAACCTTATGCAGTATAAACGTTCAAAACCTTCGTCTGTCAAATGCTCCACCATATCCGGTATAAAGACAGCCAGGTGTGCTTCGTAAGGGCTGTCCAAAACTGAAACAGCTTTCGCCACAGAAACTAGACCACACATTATATTATTATTTATTGAGGATAACCATAATTCATTTGAGATTATTTTTTATAGACTCAGTTTTTCTTTAATATCTGAGCTTTGAAATTTATGAAACACCAGCTTTTACTAGCGCTAAACTATTTCTAACCGTTAAGAAGTTTTTGAGAAAATGCCCGCAATACGATTTGCATTAATATATATTCGGTCTGTTATATGGCTTTTATAAAAATACAAGAAAAATAAAAGAGAATCCATGTATAGATATATATGTGGATGTATGATCGTATGTACCTACATTATTTATAAAAAATACCAAAATTTCATCACACAAAAAGTACGAAAGTCGGCTATAAATTCATATTAGTACAGAGCTTTCACGGAATTTAAGTTCTATCCGAAAAATTGGACCGCTCAAAAGTATCTTCCTTATTGATTTTATTTAGAACCATTTAAAGAGGAGCTTGACCTACAATTTGCCAATCATTTCTCTGTTTAAAAACAAAAAATACGTTCTTAAAATTACTTCTACATCAATAAATTCTTGTACCGAAAGGTAAGAACAGATTTAAAAAAGAAGACTGTGACTATAAAAGGAAAAGCTTTTATGAATTGCTTCGTCTTCCTGAAAACATTGTGGATTATTTTATGCTCCTTCAGGAGTAAGCATTTTTCTCAATCTTATAATAAACTATACTTACATACAACTACGGAAAGGAAAGAGAAAATTCATTTTTTTACAGTATCTTTATCCTGGAAAAATGAATTTTACGGAATCGTCTTCAAGCTTTTCCTTGTATCGATCTTCTTTTCGAGGAAACTGTTTCTAGATATTATTCGTACTATCTAATAGCAGTATCAGTTTTATAAATTATTTCCTTAATTTTCTTAATAATGCTCTTCTGCTGATTGTTTATCAACATTTTAAAATTTAGTTTCCATTATTATTTTATGAATAAAACCAAAATCATATAAGAAATGGATACCAAGTGAAGCCAAAGGAAAGGTAGGAAATTAAACTATACTTGTCTGAATTTGGAACCTGAGAAGTATGGGTTATGGGTATATGGTATGCATGTATACATACATCTACAGAAGTATATGTATATATAGTACAGTGTAAATGTTAGCGTGTGGATGTATTTGTATGTTGGCTGGCCATCCCTGGTTCAGACACACGTGGTTGGTGTCTGCCGACAGCTGGTCCTCGACTCACCCAACACACCGTTACATCAGTCTGAATTCAGTAAGGATTTCACCACTGAATTATTACATTTTGACATTGTACTTAAAATAAGAAAATTCAAGGTGACATCCTTCAACTTTTTTGCAAATAAAGCGGTAATTTTATTATGGAAGGCTGAAAAACATAATTTTATCAATTATTTATTGAATAAAATAATGCGAAATTGTCAGAAGAAGCGTTCAAAAACCATTTTTAAGGATAAATAAATTTCATTGAGGTTAACTGACTTAAAGCACGCAAAAGAAACTCGTGAGCAATCTTCGACTTGTTGAAGTGTTTCAATACCTGAAGATTCATTCTCGGTTCAAGCCCTTCTTGGTGGCAATAAATGTTGAAGAAGAAAATCATTCTAATGCGTAATTGTATTACGGGATAATAACTAATTCCTGTAGACTTTAACATGCTTAATAAGATTTTTTGCAATGGCACTTAAAATAAAAAAAGTTGCATACCTAATTAAAAGTCGAAAAAATCAAGTTCTTTAGTAAGAAATATACAAGAATGAATTCAAAATGCCCCAATTAATCAGAATCGATGTTAAAAATTGAAGAAATAACACCCATTGCGGAATAACTAGCAATTGAAACACTATTCTGAGACTCCTCCTGTGTTCATTTTTGCGGTAATTTCAGGTGGCCAACTCGAAGGACATGCATTCGACTGATTTTTCTTCTTTCCCTCAGTTTTCTAATAATAATTTTAAAAATATAGATAACAGCAGATTTCTCAAATATAATTGTATGATTCTTATTAAAGCAGCATGACCAGGTTTAGGCCATTGCCTAGCATTCGGGAGGACTCCAGTTTCATTCTGGGTCCATCCACTTTGGTCCAAGTTTTTCTGTAGTTTTCTTGGATCATTTAGGTAAATGCTGGGGCTGTAATATTCCACTGTTAATCTTTCATTCTCTTCTGTCTTCATTTCGTCCTTCTCATCTTTCTCATCCGATCCAACACCCACCTATTCCCACGATTCCTGAAAGGAGGCTGAAGAAGGCCTTCCGCCCTACCTTCCGGCGTAGTCCGAAGGGACTACCCGCCCATCAGCATTAGTAGCTGGTGGGAATGAAATATAAAAAAAACATACATTCTTAGGAAAATGACATAAAAAAATTCATTCCGCTTTTACATAACAATGATTCGAAATTAGAAAAT